TCTCTGTCTCTCTACATGTCTCTCTGTCTCTCTACATGTCTCTCTGTCTCTCTACATGTCTCTATACATGTCTCTCTATCTCTACATGTTTCTCTGTCTCTCTACATGTCTCTCTACATGTCTTTCTGTCTCTCAGCTCGGGTGGAGGGTCAGCGCAGAGTCTTGGATGAAGCGACCAGACAGAGGCGTCTGACTCGTCAGCTGGAGGCTCTGGAGAAAGACAACTTCCAGGTGAGCGTCGTCGTCCAGCCGATCACTCAGAGGAGGAGCTCAGTTAACGTCCACGCTCAAAGGTGCAGCTCTCACCTGCACCTCGTGGTTTTCATCCAGGTCAGTGTTTTCACTTTGTGTTTCCAGGACGACCCTCTGTCCTCCCTCCCTCCCCCAGGGCCGACTGCCCGGCTGCCCGCCTTCAGTGAGACAGAGGAACCAGGTGAGACCTCATGTCAGTCACTGTCTCAAGACACTCTAGGTTTTAAAGGAATACTTCACCGTCACTCATCTACTCACCACTTTGCCTAACGGGGGTGCGTGAGGTGCTTGACTCCTCAAAACACTTCTGGAGTTTCAGGGGTGAACTTTGTTGCAGCAGAATCCAGGACAATTAAAGTGTGGTGTCGTCCAAGTGTCTGCAAGCCCCGACGTTCTTATTCGACTCAACTTGGTCATTTCCACCGTGTTTTAAGCCGAAACATCCTCTGATATTTTAGCCACCTCGTGTGGACTTTGAGTCTTAAAACACAGTGTAAACATGTTTTTTATTGTGGACTCAAACACTTCACCCACCCCTCCATCGGCAGAGTGGTGAGTAGATAATGAGTGAATTAAAATCTTTCAGTGAACTATCCCTTTAAGGTAGAGACTCGACAATATTGTAGCAAAACATAACAATTCCAACGAGTCCTGATTGGACACGTCAGAGGACGGCGTGCGTCATCTCCTCGCTTCCTTCTCATGTGACATATTTTCAAATGTTTGTCTCGTCCAGAGAAGAAGAGGAGGAAGACGAGGGGCGACCACTTTAAACAACGTTTCAGGAAAAACTTTACCACCCTGCTGGAGGAGGAGGTGGGTCCTGCACTTTCACACTTTCCCGACTCTGTCATTGGCTGATCTGTTAGCTGACTCCTCCCCTCTTTTCTGATTGGTAGAACCTGTCGGAGAAGCCGGAGCCCAATTACCTGTCAGCGGCAGCCCCCGTCTCATCGCTGCCCCCCCGTCACTTCTGCTGCGTCTGTGGTTTCCCCTCCCACTACACATGCACCACCTGCGGGGGGCGCTACTGCTCCAGCAAGTGTCTGTGTACTCACAGAGAGACCAGGTTTGTCTGTCTAAACTAATAAACATGTTATGTGTAAATGTCCTGTGTTGTAACGCTCTCCTCACTTTTTTCTTTCTCCCCTCCTTTTTAAATTTTTTTTTTTTATTACGATTATCAGCTTTACATATTTGGGGCCTCGTACGGGATTTGAACCTATGACCGTAACAGTTGATGCTAATTCAGAATTATTCCTTGTTATTAGTGAGTCATCCTGAAACACACATTTTTACTGCTTGTGTGCAGAGCTTTTTGTGAGCAGTCTATGGTGCATAGTGATTTTATAGTCAATGTTTTTCATCGTTTGAAAAAATATCATCAGTTCAGTAAATCACTCCTACATTACAAGTCGACTATTTCAGAGTCTGTTAAACAACCAACACCGTCACACGACAAGTCAATTAGATGAGCTGTTTGTGACATGCGAGATAAGTACAGAAGTTTGTGGAATCAGTACGTTGATCTCCCCACTTTAGTAAAATGTCAGATTAGTTCATGAAGATCTTTTTCTGTGTCTCCGTAGGTGTTTGAAGTGGACACTGTAACCGCCGCCTCGTCACCATGGTGATGGAAGTGACGAAATGCTGCGGCCTGGTTCAGAATGTTCAGGGAAGTTGAAGCTCGGACATTTACACACTCACTCATTTTGATCCTGTTTCTAAATTTAGTGAGTGCACAGAAACATTCATGTTAGCAGCGTTATTCATTCCTCGTCCCATATGACTCATTTAACCTTAGGGGGTTGTCATGTTGATGAGTTAGCGTCAGGTTAAAGCTGCCGTGATAGTTAAAAGGACAGAAAAGACATTTTTGCTGTAATGAATTAAAATGTTGCTGTCCCTGAGGTGTTCTAGTTGTTTTGTAAATAATGAGGTTGTATTTTCATTCTTTAATAAAGAAACATTGAAATAGAATTCTCAGTCCTGTCTTTTCTTTTTTGTTTACTTAAATATTTTTTTAACTACAGCCGTTGTAATAAACAATATTAAAGAAAGGGAAAGAAAATCCTGGATTTGCTACCTGATGCGGATCAAACAAAACTTTAATGAGTTCTTTCTTGACTCAAACCTCAAAGTAACACCAAGTTTTGTAGTAATCCATCCAGAAGTTTTAGCATAATCCTGCAAACTGACACAAAACGACATCACAACCTTTTTTTAATCACATTTTGAACAAAATACAAACTTTTGACTTTTTTTTTTATTACTTTTCAGACGACGTGTTAACCATTGACTTTTTTTTATCACTTTTCGGACTAAAATACGAACCTTTGACTTTTCTATCAGTTTTCGGACGAAATGCGAACCTTTGACTTTTTTTATCAGTTTTGGACAACATGCTAACGTGACTTTTTATCATATTTCGAACGACATACAAACTTTGGACTTTTTTTTTATCACTTTTTGACCAGTTTTAAGACGATATGTTAAACCACGACTTTTTTATCATATTTTGGACGACATGCTAACCTATGACTTTTTTGTCACCTTTTGGGTGAAATACGAACGCTGTGACCTTTTTATCGTGTTTCGGATGACATGCTAACCTATGACTTTTTGAGGGGATTTCATCCGAAATATGATGAAAAAGTCATAGGTTAGTATGTCGTCTGAAATATGATTAAAAAAAATTAATCGGTTAGCATGTCGTCTGAAATATGATAAAAAAGTCATAGGTTAGCATGTCGTCTGAAATATGATAAAAAAAGTCATAGGTTAGCATGTCGTCTGAAATATGATAAAAAAGTCATAGGTTAGCATGTCGTCTGAAATATGATAAAAAAGTCATAGGTTAGCATGTCGTCCAAAATATGATGAAAAAGTCATAGGTTAGCATGTCGTCCAAAAACGGATAAAAAAGTCATAGGTTAGTATGTCGTTTAAAATATGAT